AAAATAAATTAGGCATACCAATGTCTATTAATTAGTAAGTTTATGGCTAAGAGTTAGGTTGGAAAAAAAGGTTACAATTAAAAACGGCGTTCTGTTAACCATTTATTTATGAATATGTAGTTTTATTACATACATACATACAAATTTATAGTAGTTATTGTAAACAAGCATTAAATTTTGCTTTGAGAAATTATGCTGGAAAAATATGCTGCTTTAATATTGTTTTCTTTTTTTTAATTTTCCTAAGAAAAGATTTAAATAAATAAATGCTCTTTATGGAGTTATATTCTAATGTGGTATAAAAATATATTAAGCTTAAGCAAAAAAGTTAATCATGTTTCTTAATTTAATTTTTTTGTAAAAAAAATTTTGTATTCCAACTATTGGTTATAAAACATTAACTTGTAAAAAAATGCGCCCACATGCATATACATATACAAAAATTAAATACAAAGCTCGTATTTAGCACAAAAAAAATGAAGAGTTTTTTGAATATCCAAAAAAATAGGTTCTTATGTACATACATACATTCCATACAAAAGCGATAAATGCATTTTAGCGCTGAAGAATATAAAAAACTAAAAAATAAATGAAGGTAATTTACTTTGGTTTCCAAAATTAAGTTAAAAAAAAACACGAAAATTAACACTATTCCAAAAACCATAAACAACTGAACGAATTAAATAGTTCACACAGTAAAGCAACTTTCCTAATGATGAAATCTGTGGACATTTGGCAAAACAACTTCACTTGGGTGCCTCTATTTTTTTTGTTTACTGCTAGCACTAAATCGTTGTGTTGCAATACAAACTTGGGAATTTCTTCTTCTTAAAATTCTATATCTTTCACTTAAAGTTATTTGAAAAATATCGACTAAAAGGTCTGAAATTTATAGAAAAAGCTTTTGCTTAGTTTGCATGCACACGGCCCAATATTGTAACTATTTACAATCATAAATGTAGTTTCAGAAGTCCTTTTAATTAATAAAAGCTCTATAAAAATATAGAGTTGTTTATGGAAGTCTATTGTTTTTTTTTTCATCTAAAATCAAACCTTCTAGAATAACATAAGTTGTTTTGTCAAAAGCCCACAGAAGGTCTAATTTTAGATAGAATTTCATTTTAACTCCCTACAATAGTCAGTAAATGATGTAAATGGTCAAAAACCATCAAACTGCTAGAAATATGCACACACTTTTCCTCCTTTGCCAGCAATACTATTCACCACTTTCTATATAAGTTCTTTGTTACTAGAATTTTTGGTTTTTTTTTTCTTTGGAAATTAATTGTTCCATCCATAAACATGTGCTTAATTAAATATATTTATGTTGTTATTTTTCTACACTGTTTACATTTTTCAACCGCTTGGTGCGAGTGTGTTTTTGTTAATTAAAATATGCTTCAGCGTTCTCGAAAGAAAAGAGATATATGTATTCTAATTACTATTGATTCTAATATGTACTTGAACTACTATATACTACCGCTCCTATTACTAATTCTGTACTTAAATACATGTATTTATGAAGCACACGGCAATATACTGATATTGTTATCTACTAACTAACCACATTTTTCCACCTATATCAGTTAATATTTATTAATACTTATATTAGAAAAAGACATGTCTGTATTTCTCAAATTGCCATTTGTATAAAAAAGATGCGAAACTAAAAAAAGACGAACAAGCACTATTGAAAATAGAGCTTTAATATTTTAAAAGGAAATTAAAAAAAAATATTCAGTTAAGAAAAATGGACAAAAGTAATTTAAAAAACTTACGAAAGTTTTGTAATATATTCCGAATATTGTACACGCACCCTTTGGAAAGGAAAAAAATGATGAATCGAAAAAAATTTGAACAATTAAATTAAACGGAGCTATCACTGAATCCATCATAGTCTGATGTACTTTGAAGACACTGAAATTATATAGGCATACATACATACATACATACATACATACAGACATGTATTATGCATTATGATGCACCTAAATATATTTACGTGTAAATACCTGAAAAAAAATTTTCGATACGTTAAGGTCCCAGTCGTTTGTCGTCTTGTAACCATAATTATCCCAAAATTAGCCCACTTAAGCTCCCCTGAGAGTGTTTAGCGCACTCACACTCGCATAAATTATTTTTCATTTCGTTACCTTAATATAGAAATAGTCGTTAAAATGCAAAAAAGCTGTAATGTACTAAAATTTGTTATTGCCTAAACCGATGTGGGGACTTTAATACGATGGATCATAATTAATGAAAAAGCGAAGTTTGGATTTCTATATTACGGCAACGATTTGCTTATAATTGAACCTTGTGTTTTTAAACATACATATGTATATGTTAAACATACATATGTACATGTACATTTGCAACTTGCGTTTGCACATTTGTAAATAATAAACTTATAATTTTTATGTTTGGTTATCGTATAGCATATGTACTTACATATTTATATGTATATATATTTATGTATTTACAGGCGCATATCATATTTTCTGATTAAGTACTTACATACATATATTTGTAAATATGTATGTTTGTAAATAAGATCATGTCACATGGTGTATGTCCATCCATAACACAACAGTTCATTTTCCATTTATTTTTTGTTTTTGTTTTCATTTGCGCTTCGTTGTTTGTCAAGTATTTTTAGTATTTTGTTTTGGTTCGTGTTTTAATTTCTTTTGTTGTTTTAATTTATATACATACACATGCAAAATAAAGTATGCAGTACATACATAAGACCGTGCCTAGTTTTAACTACTTAATATTTTTTTTTTTTAAATACATAGATACTTAATCGTAACTACCACTACTACTTAGTAATTAATATTGCTCAGTATATACTTTTTAGTTGTAATTCGAATTCAAAAATCCACTAAATATAAGTTAAAGTTATAAGAAATGAAAATGAAAACGAAACATTTAAAATTATGCTAATATTAATAAAGAAAATTTATTAAAACAAATTTTATTCGGTTGTGGTTTACGAAATGTGAGTAACGAACTTGACTTGCATGGGAATGAAAGTAAAAAAAAAAAAAAATCATACCTTACTACGGGTATTTTTTAACTCGTCAGCTCGATAAGTCGCAAATCCCGATGATTCGTAATAAATTTTAGAATTTCTTTGCGATAACTTAATATAATTCAGATATTTTTCGACCGGTATCTATGGATTTTTTGTTCAAGTCATTCGTGTGCGTGAAGACGACTTAAAACTCTTTGTATTCTATATTTCATAACACGTATTTGACGAAAAAGGAACAAAAGTATAAATCGTTTTCAGCAATACTTTTTCGTTCTTTTTTTAATGCTTTATAAAATTCTTAGCAATTCAGATTCATGGTTTGCCTTTTCTCTGCTCCCAGAGAGTACTCTTTTAAAAAACCGACAAAGTGAGTGAGAACAAAACCCTGGCGAACGTTCCCAAAGTCGACGTTCAGACACGAAAACTTTTGTTGCGGAAACTCGAAACTTGTAGGGGAGAGAGCGACGAGGAAAGGGGACGGGTACCGAGTCGCCCGTACTCGGGGAAACACGCTTTGTGCTCTCGTTCGTCTGAGTAATTCAAGTTGGCGATTCACAGCTGACAACAACAATTGCGTACAAAAGAGTTTCTGTGTGTGAATGCAAAGGGCAACACCAAAAGAGAAATCGCCGATAATAAGAAACTCGAGTTTCCGTGTTTGAACGCAGACAAAGTGAACAAAAAGCAAACAATATGTGCGGGAAAATTTTTAAGAGAACAAAATGGAAACAAAACCCTCCGGAACGTTCTGGCCTGAATCAAAACGGTATCAAAAGTCTAAGAAACTTTCTCGCGAAGAACAGTTTGGAAACTAAAGTCTCAGCAACGTTCTGACAAAGAACGAAACGAGAAAAAATCTTCTCTGAACTATTCGTGAAGAATGGAAGCGAGAACAACATTTTTCTCATAGCGCCGCATTAGGGTGCGTTCAGAAATGCATCAAGCCAAAGCATCAGTTACTTTTATTTCTAAACTATAATTGGTGGAAAAGACCAATACGCGCAGGCATGGTTTAATAACGAATTGGAACTTATTTGTTTAAATAAGGTATATCCATCAATTACGGTTTAGAAATAAAAGATACTGATGCTTTGGCTTGATGCATTTACGTATATACGCCCCCCCATTCTTAACGTCAAGTTCTCAAAATTTTTGTTCTCGTTTGATTCTTAAGCAGAACTTTCCCCAGACTTAAATTAGGAAGATCTCTCCGAACCATCCGATGCCAAAACAAAATTTCAGATAGGACGGCTCACTCTACGACATAATTAACCACTGGTGCTGGAGAGAGCAGCAGAACTGAATCTCTCGTGTAATTTTTTTACAATGGACTGTACATTTGTTCTATTAAATTTGATATAGAAGCAAAGAAAATGGGCACCCTTTTTTCTTCATGCTCTGCTGCTTATGCTCAACTTGAAATCTATTGAAGTGCTATTGAAATTGCGCAAGAAAAAATTTTACTTCATTTGATTTGGTAGTAATGAGCACCGAATAGACAAAATAGTGTTCTTTGAACGCGCAATGTAGGAGATTCGCCCCAAATGTTCGGGTAGAACGTGATAATTTCGAATACGCTCATACGCCCGTCACTGTTGGCAGTTATAATTTCGAAAAAGTGGTGGAATTTGTTTATTTGGAAACCAACAGTACTTCTGCCAAGAAAGTTTCTCATAAAAACTGTTCTTCGTTCGAAGGCGACGTGAAACTGTAGATCCCTTCATTTGAGCGACAGCATCAAGACGCACCCCACAAATGGGAAGAGAAACTCGGCCATTTTTGTACTTTCCGACTGAGAAGAGAAAAAACATTTCCATTTCTTGCATGGTGAGTATTTCAGCTAATTTTTTACATAAAATATATGGTAAGTAGTATCCAACTGTGCCCATATGCATACATATTTTTATTTAACCTTTCTACTAACGATTTTTTATGCTTATTTATAACAAATGTATTTCCTAATAAAAACAAATGTATGCACAAACATACCAGAAGTAATCATCACTAAAAACACCAAAATTGATTATATACGCTCATTAGCAGCTATACATATTTCTACGATCACTTCCACCGATTACCGCCGCCGCCGCCCCTTCCTTTCGTAGTGGTCTGTGCATTCTGTGCTTGTTCTTCCTGGGCTGCTAATTCCTCATCTAACAGAAGTTCGAAATTGCCCAAAGCGTCAGCACTGGGTATTTTATTCCAGCGCACACTGCAACGAAAAAAAAAACAAAAGTTACCCGCACATGAAAGTCATTTGGAATAACTAGATTATAAGAAAAATAAAAAATAAAAAACAAGAATGCAATATCGCACTGCATTCGCCATAATCCGGTTCCACATCATGCGCTCAACCTGCATAGCAGTTTTCCAGAACATTTGGTTTGCAACCCTGCTTACACACAATTGCAGCTTTTTAAGAAAAATAAAGTGTATTTAATTGTTTGACTTACTCAGGTACACCGTCCGGCGGTAACACCACAGATAATATATTATCAATTAATTTGTATTTTAATATCCGATCAGTGACTGTTGTAGATGTGAGTGAAGGTGAGGCGTTCACTTCCACCAGCCACGGCTTCAAAGTGTTGTCTATAATTATATCGTAGCCATAACATTCGAAACAATGGCGATCGCTGGCCATTACCGGCGCTACAGCGCGCAATGAATGCACAATTAGCCAGGCGATGGAGCCGAAAAGGCGATCCGTCACCTCCTTGCCGCGTGTGCCCTCCAAATAGAGTGCCAAATTTTGCACCGACCATTTGCCGCCATGCAAGTTGTTGTATTCACCCTACAGAAAGGGAGAAATGAAATAATGCGAAGGAAGGAAGGAAGGTAAGTGTCGTCATGCAGTAATGGATGTCCTACTTACGCCATGTTTTTGTACGCTCACATTCGTCAAGTGCACATACATATTGTCCAGTTCGGTAACGCTTGTATCATATTTGACTGTGCAGAAGCGACAGAAACCTTGCTTGAAGAGATATGCCTTCAGTGGACGAAATGAGGTGACTAGCACATAGAGTCGGAGGTCGAATTTTTTACCACCAATGAGCAGCGGGTTGTCAATATATCTAAATGTAGGCGCATTATTATTAAAATTTTAATTCTGTTTATAGTTTAAAAATTTACTTCGAAATCACATAACTCTCCTTAGACAATTGCTGGTGGAATGGACCTTTCGCTTCACGCGACCAACGCTTTAATTTGGATAATTTATTTATGAGAAAAATGCCGGCACCCTGCGATTTGCCACACGGTTTCATAATCCAAGTGCTTTGCGGATTCTTACGATATTCCTCAACAAACATGTTATAATCTGAGCAAAAAAAAATATAGAAAAGGTGTAAATTGAAGGATCGTAAAAAGGGCTTATTAAGTATGTAAACATAATAACAATAATAGATTGGCGTTTACACATATTTTAGTGTTTAGTGTCCGATTTGTGGCGTGCGCCTTGATGTTGTCACACAAAGGGGAGGGACCTACAGTTTTACGCCGACTCCGAACGGCGATTGTATTTTGGTGAGAAGCTGTTTTCCTGGCAAAAATACACTTGGAGGTTTGCCATTGCCTGTCGAGAGGCGACCGCTGTTTAGAAAAAAACCTTTTTTCTACATTTTTTCGCAATGCTGCTTTAACCAGGGCTTGAACCCAGGTCCTGCGGAGTGGAAGCGCGCACTGCATACCACTACACCACAGCGGCCGCTGTATGTTAACAACAAGCAGCGAAAATAGAGTAAAACATATAAGTCGTGTTTTCATACTTTTCAGTAGAGAACTATCCAGCACCTTGCCAGTAATAAAATTCCGAGAGTAAGTCAACATCTGGTCTCCGTGGAATATATATGCCAGAAAGTATTAAAACCCAAAACCAGTAACAACTTGCAAGTTTTGTGAACAGCTGATTAATTTATTATTTTCCGAGGCAATTTCCCAATGAAAATGGCATTCCATACCCTACCATATTATACAGGGTGTCCTTAGCCACCCCCTCTTATATGAAGGGAAATATTTTTTTGGTTAAAAAATTCAAAAATTTTACTTCTATCCGGAAGTGGATAAAATTGACCGGAAATTCATTTTTTATTAGACATATGTACATGCTTTTACTACACATTCAGATTCTGAGGATAAAAATACATACTTTTTTCTGGAATGGACTACCGTTTAAAACAATGGACTTCCAGTCTGTTTAACTAATTTCCGGTCCAAACCGGAAGTCGGTAACACGATCAAAAGGTAGAGCAACCCTGACTTGGTTATTCATAGTTTTTCGATTTCCAATAAAAACATTAGTGGTATTCACCAAAGTGAGCTAGTGGCCTGGCAGTCTAGCAAACGAGCAGATCAGCTCAAGCAATTTGGTGACATTTGACCGGACATTTGGAAACTGGCCCTAATGTCCTCAATATCTGGTTATCACCAGTACATAATTATCGACGATTTCGACATCGTGTATATAACATATGATCGATAAACCAGTCGTCGTTTTTAACTGGAGCTTTTACCTCCGATTTGTGTTAATCAGACATTGAACAACCGGCCCTTAGTCTATTTTAACAAAATTTAAAGGAGAGGAAAAAAACTTCGTATGGCCAGTTTCTTCAAGTACAGTCATACGAATCAGAAAAATTGGATCTTTATTAAAAGATTTCGTATTTTGGCCTAATCGGTTTTTGTGTTCAATTACTGAAAGTGTAATGGTGATAAAACTATGAAAGTTGGTATTTATACCACTAAGAGTATTAGCAATTAGTGACGGGCAGGACAAGACATTTATCGCACTTAAAGGTACTTAGGTTCAAAACTTTTCAGCGTCCCCTTGTGAGAATGTATGTATTTGCATAGAAATGTTAAATGCAGATAAATTATTTAGATAATTATATTCACCTACCAGCCGGCAAAACAAATGTTATGGGAATAAAGTCCAGATACACATAACGCGGTGCACCCGCAGCAGTTGGCTCTGAACGTTCCGCCAGTGGGTTGCCCTCACGTTCGAGATCCTTGCGATAGCGTTTGATATTCTTCACCAATAAATCCTTGCGCGACAACTCATAATGATTAGGAAAATGATTAATCATTCTGTAAGTTTTTAATTTTTACTTCCTTTTTGCATTGATGTACATATGTATGTACATTAGACTGCATCACTCCCCATTAAAAAAAAAAAACACGGTACTATTTTTCCATTGGAATTAAAAAATCTATTATATTCTAAGACTTGCACCAAAATATTTGGGAGAAATATAAGGATTTACGTTAGCTCGACCGAATTGAAAATACCTCCAAAAATTTAATTTAATTCTCATATAAAAATTTAATGTTATCGTTATGGGATCACCTGTGAGGTAACATCTTAAATTAAAAAAATTATTTGGAAATTATCTTTCCTAAATCGGTATAGTTTTGGCCCAGTTCTCCAAGTTTTTCTTAAACCAATCCTTAAAAAAAAGTTAAAAATCAACATCAAAACTCGCATTATTACGATTCCGTTGAAAAGATTTTTAAATATTTTTATGCAGATTTTTTTAGCTTAAACTGTTTTGTCAACCGGGGGGATTTTTTTTTTTCTTTAAGAAACTTTATTTATTTATAAAAAACTCCATTATTGGAGGTATTTTCAAATCGGACACGTGAATCTTAATATTTTAGTGGACGTGGTCAAATATATCTAATAATCTTTGTAATCCCGACGGAAAAACCGCAACTTTTTTTTTGTGATACAGTCTGATGTACATACATACATATATATTTATTATTAACACGACAGAGATACTCACTGATTATCGTGCATGCGATAGCCGCTATCGACGCTGAAAATATTCCGACATGTCTGCACGCCTGCCCAATAGAAATGCCAATCATCGTCAGGGCTTACTTGCGTCCAACCGCGTTTCTCGAAATTATTCACCAAAACTGATTTGTCCAAATCTGTGCAAAAGCTCACACGCAGCCGTTCATGTGGTACCGCATTGCTATTTCTGTTGTGACGCCGTTTTTTCATTTTAAATTTTTTCCACATTTTCGAAATAAGGATACAAACATACAAAAACAAATTGTATTTTTTTTAGCCACTATTTCTTCGCTAGATCAGCATTGAGTACTATTCTTAAGGCAAAGGTATGCTGTGAATGCATAAACTAAACTCACCTGCCATACATTTATGTCTTTCGATTCGTCGATTCTATTTAAAAAGAAACCTTCACGAAATTATATTATAAAATCAATCGCTATTTGCCGGCGATTTATTTATTTGTTAATATCCTTATCAAAGTGGATTTCGGTGCAATCAAAGCAATTAAGGTCCGCCAATGCTCCGCTAAATGTTCTATTTACGGTCTATATTTTTTTATGCTTAACTGCTTTACATCAGTGTGTATGTGAATTTTTCGGTGCGCCAGCGGTTTATTGAACCAACATCAGCTCCTGTTGCTAATAATTTTGTGTTGCTAAGAATTTGTATCACTATTCACTAATGCGTGCATGTACTTAGTATATGTATGTATGTAACAATATTTCACTAAAAACATGCGCCTTAACTTGACTGCCTGAAAATAATTCGTTAAAAAATAATAAAAGAAAAACATGTTAGAAATAAATATCATTCAAATGAAATGGAACAACTTACGGGGATACCAAGGTGAATTGTTTCAAATAAGAGTGTTCGTATTGCGACCTGGCTATGGTTATTGTTTTCCGGCCAAAAGATGTTCGTGCTGAAATGGAGAATGTGCAACAGTCCAGTTCTGGTTATTACCCAGCCAACCAGCGGAGTCCGCAGGGGCCACAATTAGGACTCCCTGTGCGGTGCACTGATGCTCCTAGGGAGGTTCCGAAAAAAGACCCAGAGAAGCGTATCCGCCGTAAAAAAATTGCCCTCTCAATATAATAATAAAAGATAAGCGCTTACACAATATTTTAATGTTTGGCCGAGCTTCTCCGCCGATTTGTGGCGTGCGCCTTGATGTTGTCATAAAAAGGGAGGGACCTACAGTTTTACGCCGACTCCGAACGGCGATTGTATTTCTATGAGAAGCTATTTTTCATGGCAGAAATACACTCGGAAGTTTGCCATTGCCTGCCAAGGGGACCGCTCTTAGAATTTCTGTTGTCGGAAAACTGGCTCGAACCCAGGCCCTGCGGAATGTTGTCGCGCACTGCCAACCTCTACACGAGAGCGGTCCTTTCAATATACATATGTATATTGAAAAACTGTGCATTTAGAACTCCATAAATGAGTGATTTCGGGGTCCGAAAAAGCTCACTCCGATAATCTGCTAAGGCTTCGTGGGGACTCCACTAATCTCCTAAGATTTTGTGAAGCGGACTCCTTAAATCATCCGAAGATAACCCAGATGGAGAGTTTTGGGAGTGCTCGGATAATAGACCGAAAGAAAGCTTTACTGGTTTTCAAAATGCTCCTATTTTTTTTTTGTAATGAATACGTACATATTCGATTTGTTTTTGATCATTTCTTTCTATTCTCTGAGATATGAATCAAGAAGAAGATCTAAATCGTTGATGTAAGTTACACGATTTATGGAAGATTTCAAGACCTGCGCGTAGTCTCTGGATAAGAACCACAAAGTCGATGTCCTATTATAACGAGGTATAAATAGCAAATTAGCGATTGAAAAAGTGGTCCGGCAGCTAACATTAAGGCGCGAAAGTGAGCAGTTAAAAGTAGCCTGCAAGCATCTCATGTGCGCTAATTACCGCGGTATCAGCTTATTGAATGTCGCATATAAGGTCTTATCGCGACAATTGGGTGATAGGCTGAAGCCCACCATCGACGAACTGACATTCCCATTTCGGTGTAGCCATACACCAAATCTTGGAAAAATCCCGCGAGAAAAAGATTTTCGCAAATCATTGTCTTTTTGAATTCAAAGTCGCTTTAGACAGCGCAAAAAGGAGCTGGCTATATGTTGCGATTGCTGAAATTGGTATCCACGAGAAACTAATACGTCTTTGTAAAACACCCGCTCCGACAGCGTTGGGAAAGACCTGTCCGAGCCGTTCGTTACTAAAATAGACTTAAGACATCGCAACTGCCTATCATACCTTCCAAGTTTGATATGGAAGCAAAGCGCGTGGGCCTGAAGGTGAACGAAGACAAAACGACACTGTTGACAGTAATAATTTTGAAAAGGTAGAGAACTTCGTATGTTAAGGAACTATCATTAATATCGATCATGGTGACAGCCTCCCTCGTCGTACGAAAAACTACACTCTACATATTTCACCTTTAATGCCCGTGATGGTGTGTGGCTCAGAAACATGGCCAACGCCAACATCCGATGAGGCGACCATTGAATTTTTCGAGGGAAAGATTTTGTGGAAGATTTACGGCGAGTACCGCAGACGATGAAACGATGATCTGTTTGAGATTTACAATGACATGAACAGAGCACACTGGGTTAAAATACAAGGACTTCGCTGGCACGGTCTTGTCGAAAGGATGGACACAGTAAGCCTTGAAAGTATTTAACGCGGTACCCGCTGGTAGTAGGAGAGGAGGAGCATACTCTGCGTTAGAAAACTAGGTTTGGAAGGACTTGGCTTCACTTGGAATTTCCAATTGGCGTCATTTGGCACAGAAGAGACTGGCGTGCTTTATTGGACACTGTTTAAATCACTTACTGCGCCAACCAAGAAATAGAAGCGAAATAACAGATTCCTTTATTCTACTTGTTAGTTTACAATTCACTTTTTGAATCAAATGATTCAGTTGGATAAATTAAATTTTATAAAAGTAATCAATTCCTTATCAAATAAATAAAAAGCTTTTTTTGCGTTTTCACCTTTCTGAAGCTTTTGCACTTTACACCAAATTAAAGTGAAAGTTTTGTGAAAAACACTGCTGCCTTTATTCGCTCATTCAGTTCTATTCAGTGATCGCGTATGAAAATACACAACGCGGAAAATCATTCTAAATATAGAATCCAATAAAAATAAACACTTTCTACATTTGCATATCCAACCAAGTAGATACTTATTAACCAACAATAAAGGCTAACAGTGATTTCTATTCCCTATTAACAAAACATTTAAAGTGTTTTCTCTATAAACGAAGTTGTAAAATGGATTTACTTTTCCTAAGCAAGCGAATTTTCCTGGGCACCGAACGGGAATTCCTCAACGGTGGCATTATTGTCGACACGGAGGGCATCATACGTAAGATTTTGCGCACTGCGCAAGAGGTGAATACCTATGTATACAACACGGAATCGGAAGCGGTGAGCAAAAAAGAGAAAAATAAAGCATTTTGCCGGTTAGCAGGCGGTTGTTGGAGAGCATCTTTAAAAATATGCGCTATTTGTTTGGGTTTGTCGTAGGTCTATGATTTTGGCGATAAAGTGCTTATGCCGGGTCTGATAGACGCCAATGTGAATATCAGCGAGCCGGGGCGTAAGGATTGGGAGGGATTTATGGCGGCAACAAAAGCAGCAGCTGCCGGCGGTTTCACCACGATCATCGATAGACCTACGTACGTGCATACTTTTCGACAGCTGTGCTACAAATTTTGTTGATAAACTAACTTTTCGTTTTAGTAACACCATACCGCCCACCACCAGTGTGACGGCGCTAAAAACGAAAACTGGTGTGGCGCGTGGAAAGCTTTACGTGGATGTCGGATTTTGGGGTGGCCTAGTACCTGAGAATGTCAAAGAAGCTGATCCGTTGCTGGGCGCTGGCGTTATCGGACTGCAGTGCACACTTTCGCCTACACCGGCACCAGTTGGAGATGCTTTTCCCGCCATAAATCGTAAAGATCTTGAAGATGTAATCGATAAGCTGGAAGATGGCACAGTTATAGCTGTAAGAATGTGAACATAGAATTTGATATGCTTTCGTTTCTATGAGACCGAAAGGTGTTAGGAAACCAATACAATTACAGTTAGTAAAGTTTTGTGAAAAAATATCCCCGAAACGAAAGCATATCGCTCTTAAATGAGTAATGAAGAATGTAGAATTAACCACTTCTTAATGTATACAGTTTAGTGCCGAGTTGCCTCTAAAGAATGCTATAGAGCCCAATGAGGAAGAACCCAAAAAATATGAGTCCTTCTTGCGCACACGTCCCGAAGAAATGGAAGTAAATGCCGTGCAACTGATCAGTCAATTGGCCACGGCAAATAAGGGGTAGATATTTACGCTTGTTGAAATTTACAACAAAAAAGTCATAAGATACATTCGTTTTTTTGATGTTCCAGCAAACATATGCATATCATGAACATAAGCTCCGCCGAAGTGTTGCCCATTGTGGCGCAATGCAAACGCGCCGGCGCAAATCTGACTGCTGAAACTTGCCCCCATTACCTTGCATTGTCTTCAGAGCAAATCGAAGATTGCCATACCGAGTTCAAAGCCCAGCCTCCGATACGCGTCAAGTCAAATCAGCCCCGGTTATGGGACGCTCTGAAAGCTGGTTGCTTGGATATTATTGCCTCAAATCATTCGCCAGCGACGCCGGGAGTGAAGTGTTTGAATTACGGACGTGCGCGTGGAAACTTTTTGAATGCTTGGCCTGGCGTCTCGTCGTTGCAACTGGGTAAGTTTCACGGTCTTATTAGGATTCTCGTAGTCGACTCAATTGTGCGTTGAAAAATTTAATTTTAGACCCTAACACCTTATGTATATGGCGTACTGCTAAGTGGGTCTTTGCCTGAGTATTTACACAAGAACTAACAGCGCTGTAAGCACCATTATAATACGGTTTCTCTGCGACCTATGATAGTATCGATTTTCGCGATTTTTTAGTTTCTCCAAACCACCTAGACTTTTCGCTGAATCTACCTATGTTAGTAATGTAGTTTTTAGAAATTTCCTTTCGGCGAGCCAGTGATGCGCTCTCGCGAGAGTTAATTTTAGACGTTTCCCTACTTTCGTTGAGATTAGTGCTATCGTTGAAAGTTGCTGCATGCTCAGCAAGTCACCTATGTCCCGTGATCGTGTCTGTTGACTATATTTTCTCTTTACCTCCATCAGAAGTCTTCCGCCCTTCATTCGTTATCAGATGTTTTGATCCTAGCTAATTTATGAGTCCCCTCGTTACTGTGTACGTTAGTAAGATACTATCGATTTGGTCATCAAGATTATCATACACCTACAATCACTTACTTTTTAGATTTTCCCGTGGGTGATGAGACAATGTACATATGTATGTATGCTTTTTGTACTCCTTCAAAATAGTTTATCTTCATTATATATCCCACAGGCCCTCTCGATGCCCAGCACTTTCATTTGGAAGATGCAAGCAAAACTAAGTGGTACAAACGACAGCGAGACATCCATCATCTCAGGGTCTACGCCTGCATCCACATTACAGTTCATTTTGCACTCGCCCGTATAGATGGCAGCAGAGTTTCCCTCGATTATCCTGGGCTCGAATCATAACATACGTTCACGGATCGAAAACCATACGAAAAAAAATACGTGATACGTCAGTCATATAAGCTGAATGGGATAAAGAGTATGTTCATGTATGCCATAATCCGAAAAATGTGTTTTTACTTGACGAATAGTACGATATCGTATCTGACGATTCGAGACCTGCCTCGAAATCAACACCTCCTCAAAGGAAACTTCGCCTGCAAGTTTTTCTTGAATTATAGCTTAGGAAGAAGTTTTTTGTTTACAAGAGACAGTCAGTGTGGAACTTTAACCGATCTAAACCTTCTTCTGTCTAAGTACCAATCACCTCGCTATTGTCGTTAGGGATTTAGTCGGGAGGTGATTTAAGCGCGGAGCTCTATGCTTGTAACTTGGAGCAGTCCTCCATTTTTTTTGTAATAAGATGCGTTTGTACCCACACGCCATAATCGCGTTCGCTTACGCTCTCGACTGACCTTCTGGTTTATTTCTACAATTGCCGTATTTACTGGATTCCAAGCATTTTTTGAGCCCAACGTGATATCAACTTGGTTGTTTTGTTGCAGCTGGTCATCAGTAAACGATGCTATTCTTCTTCTTCTTCTTATTTGGCGCTGTAACCGCCTAAGCGATTT